ATTACTTAAAAATTGCCAGAAGATGAATTGAAAATGGACAAACAAAGTCTCAAACATAAAATGATAATATTAAAATCATAAGAAATTAAAAGGTGTATAATTATTAATACAGTTCTATATCACAATAAAATAAATGGAAGCTGCCAGAATAACACAAGTTTTGAAATTAACGCGATTGTTATTTTAAATGTGTACTTTTTAAAATTTTAAATATTGTCAGTTAATTTGTATTAATGCTTCAAACTAATTTTTAACAATTTGAAATGTTCAAAGATACTTTTATTAAGATGACAGGGGAGTGATAAAGAGTAAACATATATATGAAGTTATAAAGGCTAAGCAAAATAATGCACCAACAAAATAAATTAAAAGAAGAATATAGTCGAGATTGGTCTGCTTTTTGAAAGTTTGAAAGTTTTATAGTTAAGAGGCGAAAAAATGGTATGGACAATTTTTTTAAAGGAATGTGACTAAAAGTCCACAACGGTGTGAGACTCCTAATAGTAAAAATCCACCTTCCTCTTTATCATTACCAACTCATAGAACTTCTTTCTGGTATTACTTTCGCTAGTGGAGGAGGGAGAGCGGATGGCTATGTGCCATTTTTTTTTATTTGACAACTTATTTCTCTCTTTTCTCACTACTGTGTACTCTGAGCTTCCTGCCAATTTGCGATGTGTAGCCAGCAACATCATCCAGCTCTTCTGCTTAGTCATCATCAAAGTGATTAGGAAGTATTTTGGGAATGTCTAGCTCTTCATTTTCTTGTGAGAAACTTGAGAAACAAAAGAATTTTATCCATAGGTGAGCAAGTAGGGAGGCGGGGTGGCCGAATGGGCTAACGCCCATGCCTGGCAAACAGGTAAACGAAGTTATGAGAGATTAAAAAAGTACGAGTTTGCGTCCCGGTGCCGAAGGGGATTTTAAATTCCCAGCTCTCACTCTCCAGCCCTGGAAAACCCCGTATAGTCTAAAAGGCGAGGTGGGGAAGAACAAAAAAAAAAAGTATGCAAGTAGAACATGATAATTCATCCTCTAGCTTAAAGGAGATTGAACAGGTCCTGAAGCAACATATCCCAACTAACAGTTTGATGTGATAATATTTAACCACTATATGTTTCCGAAAAATCCGTACTCCAATAAGGAATCAGACTGTGGGGCCATCTCACAGATTTTAAAAGTTTATGTTCATGTATGTGGATGTGTACACAGGTGTGCCTATGGATGTGTATAAGGGCATCAAAAGAGAGTTCCAAAATAGCAAAAGACAAGGAACGTGGACCTAAGGGTGGCCTCGTAGTCCGGGAGCCCGTGGCAAATAAGGTGACTTATTTCATACCAAGGTTTGTCCTTATAAATTGGCCATGCCCACAAGCATGATGGTAAAAATGGACGTCTACTAGCATATAGCCACTGGAATACAAAATGGCTGCCTTGAAGACAGAATCCTGTATAGGCAGAAACCTTAGAGGAACTCTAAATATAGAAAGCTAACAACCCTTTAAACTTATAGTATTTACTGTCTCAAGACATAAAAAAATAGTCAGTTAACCTATACCCGTGGATTTCAAGTCGAAAATATAAATTTATGGTTCAAAAATTGACTTTATTTTGTTTTTGGCTTATATCAGTGAAACTATTTGTTCTAGAAATAACAATGATCCATGTAAAATTAAAGCTGACAAAATTTTCAACAGAAATGGCTATGAAATGCAGGAAGACACTAAAAGTCTGTGGGCAGGTACAGGTAGGAGATGGCAGAAGCGATGGAATAATTTGAGAGTGGAAATTGATCGTTGAGCATTCTGGGAAATGTGGTAATTCCAGGAAAGGGTTTAATCAATGAAAAAGCCTAAGTTTTTAACAGAGGAGAAGAATGTAATGGGTTGGTCATTTAGGTATAGTGTAGGAAAGTTGAAATTGGGTCGGAGAAGAGTTTTGGAACCAATGATAATGGACTGAGTTTTTGCAGCATTTAACCTTAATTCGTTTAGGCATGCCCAGTCAATGATTCTATCTAGTTCTTCTTGAATCTTGGCAAATGCTACAAATAATTCAGAGAGAGAAAATGATATATAGGTTTGGGAGTCATTGGCATATCAGCGATGGGAACAATTTTAGGATTGATTTATGAAGACACTTTATTTAGGCATTAAAAAGAAGTGGAGAAGTACTAGAACTCTGAGCAACTCTTGAGGACAGAGAAAGACAGGATGAAAGGGGTTGATTAGGGGTGGAAACTACTTGGGAACATTGAGATAGGAATGAGGTGGAATGATTGATGGAGTCAAAAGCTTTGGAGAAATCAAGGAAGACAAGGAAAATTAATTTTTTTTTCATCAACAGCAGCCTGGACATCACAGATAAGTTTAATTAGGGCTGATTGCGTGGAGTACCTGAGGCGGAAAACTGATTGGAGAGGATCGAATTGGTTGAATTTTTCAAGAAAATTGGAGACTTGGCACTATTATTTCCAGAGCTTTTGAGAAGTAGGAAAGGATTGAGATTGGACAAAAATCTTCCGAAGAAGATGGATTAGACTTTTTATTTAAAGGAAGGACAATGGCTTTTTTCCCAGAGATAAGGAATACTGAATTCTGTAGGGAGATATTGTAGATATAAACGAGAACTGGGAGGATTTCAAGGAGACATAACTTTATTAATTTGACAGGAATGCCATCTGAACCTGTGGAATAAATGAGATTTCATTACAGTGGATAAAAGGTCTGCAGGAGAAATGTAAGAAAAGTAAAAGTAATAATCATTAAATGATGCCCCTGGAGAGAAACCGGAGGGGGAAGGCTGAGATGAGGTAGAGCCAACAGATATGAAATGTGAGTTTAAAAATCAGGTGACACTTGAAAGACTAGTAAGGTAGGAGATTTAGAGGGTTCACAAAGGGAAAGTTTGTGAAGGAGTTATCATTTAGTTTTGATATCAGGAGCTGATGAAAGGGCTTCATGGAAGTAAGAGGATTTCACCTGTCGAATCTTCGACTGAGTCAAGTTGCGCAGCACCCTAAATGCTTAGAAGTCATCTGCAACTCTAGTACGTCTATATAGGGTGTCTGTCTATCTATCTTCACCTCACCGCCATTTTGCATTCCAACGGCTGGAAGACATGCACTTTTCCCATCAGGCCTATGGGCATGGTCAATTTATAAGAACAACAAACCTTAGTATGAAACAAGACACCTTTTTTTGCCACAGGCTACCGGGCTATCAAATATGTACGACTACATAATTTTATATGTTATCTAATTCTTAATTTAAACAAATCCTGACATAAGTATCCCTAGCTTATAATCCTAAGGAATGAAATATACGTACATGTCTAGTCTACTTGGTTGTCAAACATGGGCGAGGAAGGCCCCCATTATTAAACCAAGTTGTAATATTCGAAAGTATCAATTCACCAACAATCACTCAAAGTAGATATAGAAACACATTCGATTCCTTAGGACGTATCAGATTATGCCAGTTTTCATTTTATTTTTTTTTTATTTTACCTTTTTCAATTTTTAAAGTTTTGGTAATTACTATTCAATACATATGAAAATTGTAAAATACCTACAAACAAAAAATATTAAAGACATTTAATACAATAATTTTTCAATATGTCTTTTTTCAAAACTTTCACTGGTTTTCACAGAATAATATTATACAACAAGCTTGAAAATTGTTAGAGCAGTTTGCTGAAAAAATCAATACATGGCTACAAACTGACCAACTTCCTTCTCACAGCTTGTAGCTAATTCTTTGTCAAGTAATGATTGAAATAGAAAGAACATTGTGAAGTCTCTCTTTCAGTATGGCACATCTAAATTCATGTATATTATATGGTATTGGAGCAAATAGTGTTTTTATATGAAGTCATATTGTACTTAAGAGGCCACAAAATCATACTTATGCCATTTGGTGCGTGCAAACTTTTACAAAAAATTACATGATTTTGAATATTTATAAAAAATTGATTAAGAATAAAATTCTTTATTAAAGCTGATTATGCTTGTTATACGCATGTAAAATTAGACCTTCTTTCCTTTTTGATTTAAAACTGCACCATTGACAGTGAAATTGAGCTACTTTTCCACATTCAAGCCTTTTATGCCTCTTGAGGTTGCGTGAATGGCTATAACATTTTTTACAGGCCTCACAAGTATGCAATAATCCTGAAATAAAAAATGAATTAAAAAATTCATATAGAATTTTCTAGGTCCATGTCTTTCATAATGAATAATGAACTGATAATTAAATTTTTAATGATAAAGTCAGTAAACAATAATTATTGTAATTGCTTTATTTTAAATTCATAACATTCAATTTCAAACAAAACTTTTGAAATATACACATTTTAAATACTTACTAATTAGAATTCATAATATCTTGGTACCAGTATGTTTATTATAAATGTGGACAGTTAGATTCTCTTTTCTTTTTGTTCGATAAGAACAAAATTTACAGTGGAACCGAGGTTCCTTACCACATTCATACTGCTGATGCCTCTGAAGACCTTTGATGTAACGGTAAGATTTGAAGCAATGGTCACACTGATACCTCAGCTCTCCTAATAGGTAACAGAAATATTAGATTATAATAATAATAATATTTCAATAGTCACTGTCAGCATATAATTAATAATATATTGAAATAAATATATGAAAAAACTATAGCTTATTATTATTAGCTTGTAATTTCAAAAGACTCAAAATCTGTAAAAACAGTTGGTGCTATCATCATGGGACAACATGAAGTACAGAGATAATATTTGAATTTTAGCATATAAGAAACTTGAAATGTATATTAATGATGTGATATTTTGTGTGCCTAGGTCTTAAAAACATAACAATTATTTATACTTGAAAAAACATTTTATATATTTTTAAAAAACATCATTTAATTACTTTCGTATAAAAGTCATAAAAATAAAATAAGTAGTTATTAAAATATAAAATAAATTTAACAAAAACCTCATTTTTAATTTCAATAACTTGGAATTTATACAAATTTATAACTTATGTCGATTAAAGATATGTAGCATCAACGACCCCTTTCGTTTTGTCTTGTGGGGACAATGAGGACATTCAAAGCTAGGTTCTTTTCCACATTCATATTTTACGTGTCTTCTAAGATTTTCTTTATAGCGATAACATCTACTGCAAAATGTACAGTAATATGGCTTATCTGTAACATATAAATAAAAAAAAAGTTTTATAATTTTGATCATTCAAGTACAAATGTAAACAAAAACATTAATAATTTATTATATTCCTTTCATTTCGATACAAATATTTAAAAATATTTATTCTGATAATATGATTAGTAAAATATCCAACTTTCTATTTTGCCTTTTTAGAATCTAATGCTAACTTTCCTTGCTTTTATCACCGCTTATAACCCTTTAAGCATGTTTATTGTATGATCAGAGATTCTAGCTTAATGACCTACCTCTCTTCTTTGAGTCCTATGATAATATTCAAGGATGCACTGAGCTACTACTGTGTGTTGAGTAATCTAGATACTAGAGAAAACCACATAAAATTTAGAATACAGATTTGTACAGGAAGATAAAGCTGCCCGTTATCAGGTCTTTTCTATAAATGCTAAGTATACTTTTTCATCACGTGTAGAAGTGTTGACTAAATTCAATGTGATATTGCTGAAAGAATGGGATATATTGCAATAGGACAGCTAAAAGGTGAATCAGCAATGGTCAGCCAAGATAAAAAGATTTTCAGATCAAAAAGCCCTCAAGGCACAGTGTGACTTGAACCAGAGCTGTTCACCACTTCTTATTTTTTAAAATAATCTAGCACCTATGGTTTAGCAATGGCAATACAGATTTCTATGAGTAGTCTTCAAAAGGATGGTCTATCACGGTCTTATTTCCAAGAAAGTTCACCCTTTAACCTTTGGATGTAATATTAAAAAGTTTTATCTTCTTGTCCTAAAGCCTGCAGTTTGGAAATCCACAATATGGTATTTTAAGTAAAAGGCATGGCCATATTCATGAGGACGTTCTTTAATGAATTGTGTTTAAATGAATGTCTTAAATGTGTACACCAATGGAGCTGTGATGCAGGTCTTGAAGAGAGTTCAGGTAATAAGGAGTTTTACCTCATTCATCAAGCAAAGAAAGAGAATCATTGTATGCTTTATATATGAATCATGTAAGTTTTTACATCAAATCATAGTTTTCTTTATAATGCTTTGATTTATATTTGTTTATTTTACAGTTTATTAGCTGTGTATCTTGATTTCACCTGCCTATGATTATACATGCCTGTTTCAGGTTAATATATTACACTAAAAAAGTTAACATGGTCTGTTTTAAATTATTTAAAGAAAAATCACAGTACCTTTGCGGTAAATATTTTTAGTTTGTTCTTACCATGGTATAAGTATATATAATTTTTCTCGGAAACCTGATCTAGATAAAAACAATGTTCTCTCAAGTTGACTTCAACTGGCTTATAAGTTATTCTCTTTATTTTATTATTAGTAACTGCTAATAATATTAACAGAAAGGTATCCTAAAGGGATTGCCTACAATTTTCCAGATAAATTGTCTATGATTATACTTCAGTAATCAATTAAGAGTAACTAAACAGAAGATTTTTTAAATACTGAATCTTGCATTCATCATGATTTTTTTTTTTCAAAGCAGTAGTTACCATACCAAAATTTTGCAGACCTCCTTCTATATTTTTAAGCCCTGAGATCATGTCCCATCAAAGATTTCAGAATTGATAAACTTTGTGTGGACAAAGGTAATTTGGTTAAAATTGGATAGAGATTGGTTCAGTAGAGTTTTCATAGTTAACAGTTGCAAACGAAAAACTGGATGCCCTTTTATATAATAATATGATTTATTTTACTGATTTGCTTCTAATTTTAAATGAGTTTTCAATATCAATAATTGTTTATTATATTAGCCCGATGAAGGTCTACAAACTTAAACTGCGAGCTAAGAAAATAAAATATTTTAAAACACAGGAAGGAAGACATCTTTTTATTACCTCAGTGTAATAGCAAAAATTTCAATTCTTAACATTGCCCATTCAATAATAATCACTATTAACACAGTGATGTTTAAGCACAATATGACTTTTCATATTTGTTTTTTGCTTGGTTCTATGTGGGCAAAAGGGACACTGGAATTGAGGTTCCTTTCCACATTCGTATTTCTGGTGCTTATTGAGACTCCGAGCATATTTGTATGAATGACCGCACTTTGAACAGCTAAAACCTAAACAATAAATCAATTGTAATACAAACAAAGTAGAATGACAAAGTATTTTTAAAATGGCAGACAATTTTCAGTTAATGTTAATATAGGTAAAACTTTTATCAGAATAAGTTTTAAGTCAAATGTTACAAGTTTAAGTCAGATATTACTAGTTCGTTCATTAGTTATAACATTATAAGTAGTTACAAATATAGTTGTGGAAAACAAAAAAAATAATTATAGAAGGAAACTAGCTTTATGTATGGGAGAATTCATTGAACTTACCTAATGTTCTTTTAACAAAAAAAAAATGTTTTATCTCATTTCATCACATCACATCATTACTTTATAAAAAATTCATAAAAATTAAATAAATAGAGGCATCTTAATTTTTTTTTTTTAATTCATTAGTTTCATAGCTCATCTATACCATTATTGAAGAATACTTACAAAAATTGTAAAACCTTTTTTTCCTCGCAATTTCTGAACATCAGTTATTTTAATACCATGTTGAAATAATTTAAATATATAGTAAAACATTGATTAAACAAACCTTCATTATCCATATTCGGGATTTACTGTACTCACTTACGAAAAAATAAATGAGTTATTTTTATCAGTAACCACTAAATCCTACAGCCATACTTTAATCATATGTTACTGTTTTAAGAAATAGACCTCTCATTTTAAAGAGTTAATTTCACAATTCTCAGTTGGTTTTAGACCTTTGTCATACATGGTCATTCTAACCAGATCAACAATTAATGTTAAAATTTTATTATTTATATCACTGTAATCTATACAATTAAATATTAAATAATACCAACAATAGCATTTATAAAAACCACATATATATATATATATATATATTTATATAATATTGCCGGAGTCCGTATTATATTAATCTCATGATATGTATGCAAGCATGTTCTAATCTTTCGGGCGAGCTCCTATTCCTCTGGTTCCTCAATTACAACTATTCGCCATTGCGATCACTTATTTTTCCTTTAGTTATTTATCAAACTCTTTCATATTTTATATTTCACCATTTTTTATATTAGAAATTAATTTGAAACGGTCCATTGTTTCAAATAAAAAAAATTAAAGCTACTTTAGAGGAATCTAATATTGAAAATTATCCATTTAAGCCCTGTTAGAGAACATCAATCAAAATAACCAATTTTATTTAAAACTGCTTAATTTTACACTGATATGATGAATTTAATCAAAATCGTTAGAGCAGTTTTCAAGATAATCGTAAAAATGTGTTTAGTGCACTATATAAAGTGCCACTTCCGGTTAGCCGAATTTTGGCGAAAAAGTTGCTATAACATTCCTAGCATATAAAAACCGAAAATGCAATTTCATTTTCGTTTTTGAGCTAGACTGTTAATACACATACAGACATACACAAACACGCACATTTTGCGGGACTTGATTATTTGGACTCAGGAGACCTCAAAACTTGTATTTCTGTTGAAAACACAGATTCAAAATTTTTCACGATCGCAGTACTAACGCTTACTATATATTACATGTATAGGTAAGTGAAAGTAAAAAAATAAGGGTTAATAAAATAAACTGTGCTGTAAATTGTAGACTTTATTAATTTGTATTTCAGACCCTGATAATGTTATGATATCACACTAAACACGGAGCTGACCTTAGACATTTGACACTACCAAACAAGGACATCACCCCCAAAAAAATTAATTTATTTCTTAAATTGTTTTATATTCAGTAAATATTTGATTTTTATTTCATTAAATATGTCTCTACTCTAATTCAGTTGCTTTATTAATAGGCAAAAATTAATTATTCTCACATGTTTTGTAATCTTTTTTTATTCCTAACAAGTGGTAGGCACCCCTATTCACGATGGGTCTATTGCCCAAGTTGCCCGGCACTGAATACGCACATACATATGCAAGTCATTAGAAAAGCATTTTGATTTAACAAAGATTTAATTTATACTGCGACCCCTCTCCACTATTATCATGGTAATTGAGATTCTATGGCAGATTTTTAAAAAAAGAATTGATTAGAACAGCTTATTAGTTCTCTAAATTTACAACTAAACATATTGTTACAGTGGTTCATAACCAGGGGTGTGTGAAGTTTGGACAGAAGTAACCATTTGATGTCTCGCCTTTGAGAAAATTGACACCCAGCAAGGAAGTACAACATTTAAGTTTACTACAATAACTTCTATGATTTGTTATCTACCTTTGTTTTAACACCTCAAATTTACGAGTATTATAATAAACAGAGGTAAGAAGAAATACTCTACTTTGTTGTGTTTATATATGCAAATGTATATGTTCATTATCTTTGAATTAAATACATTATCTATTATCTAAATTATCTACATCATCTAAATACATTAAATACATTATTTTTGAATAGATGCAACCCTAAAATTATGAAATACAAACAAGCTTTTTAAGGAACAAGAAATCATTGTTTTTAATTTAATGTGTGGAGAAGGAGGGGTAAGCATTTATAATTTTTTGAGGAAAATGTTGATCACTTGAAATGATAAGAACCACTATCTTACTTTATCAAGACAGTAGGTAATACAATCAATAATAAATAATACAATAATTAAATGTATATTATAACCTCTCAGGAAAGGATAAAATAAATAATAAGACGGATAAAAGTAGATATATTTAACATTATAATAATTTTAAAAGTTTAATAAAATTAACATAAATTTAATTTGCACTACACATCATTTCTTAACATTGAAAAGATCAGCAAATATGAATGAAGTATGCTTTCTAGCGACATGAGCTTTCATATCACCTTTTCGCCTTGATCTATGGGAACAATAAGGACATTCAAATTGTGGTTCTTTGAAGCAATCAAACCTTTTATGTTGGTACAGCCCAGATGAGTATGTATATAACTTTCCACAGGCATCACATTCATATTTCTTTTTAGTATATTCTAAAAAGAATAAAATTTTCTTGTTAATATTGCATTTTTATGAAATTAAGCAACTCTTTAAAATTAAACAGTTTTCACTTTGTGGGAACAACTAAACCGATTTTAGTTTTGATATTTATAAATACATCCAGGATTTGGATCACAAGGAATTCGCAAGGAGACTTAAGGAAGGTTGGTGACAGAGAAATAATTTAAATATAATTTCACACTTTGGACAGAAGATATTTCATAAGTTTTAGGATGATAACAATATCATTATTTGCTGAAGAGCAGAGAATTGGTTCCATATAAATACAGAAAAACCATGGTGATCCACATACATCAGCTGTTCCAATCTTTCAATTACTTTATTTTAACAACCAACAACCTCCTACATCTTTAATAAACTGTTAAAAATCTTTATGGATACCAATCCATATTACTAAGTATGCACAGTGTCTTAGGAGGTTTTCTGGTAATAATGATTGAATTTTATAGTTTTTCTATATGGTTTTAACATCCCTTGCTGGTATTCTCAGTAGGATGCCTTCATCCCAATTTCTGATGGGAGAACGTCCTTGACACCTTTCTATTTTAATCCATAAGAACCAAAAAAAGATTTTATACCCTGCACTTTAACATCCACTTCTTCAATGTAAATTACCTAAAATAACTAAACCTAACTAGCATATTCTCTTGTATAATATTTTTTTCCAAAAATCCTTTATCATTCACGTTACCTGTACTTGTTTTACTTGTAGAATGGCTGACTTCATTTCAAATTCATCTTTTTTCATTTTTACTTTAAATAAATTGATTTCCCAATGAGTCATAAAATATTTTTTATATTTTTTCTCAAGTTTAAAAAAAAATATTTTAAAAACGCTTTCACCCCGAATCTTCATAACTTCCCATTAATAGTCTCTAATAAATAAAGATATTCAAACAGGAGCCAAAGTCAGATCGAATGCTTTATAAAGAAACTATGAAGAAAAAATTATAAAAGAGAAGCATTCTATAACAATAAAGTTACCAATATTTCTGAAGAAATAATTGTCTAATGACATAAAATAAACAGGAGTTCTAATAGACTCCTAAATATTCAGGTATATATTTATACTATTTTTATTTTGCATTTATAAAAAATAAATATTAAAAAAATAAAACTGAACAAAATTGGTTTTAATAGAAAAGTTTTAGAAAAGATATATTGTAAAATATATGAGCATAATTATTTAATATTTATTTTATTAAAACATAAGAAAGAATAAAACGTACAGTGATTATATAATTTCTTTATTTCTTTATTAATTTGGCATAAATGCTCAGAATTTTATAAAGTGAGTTCTTAATTGAAATATTTCCTTCTGCTGAACCTGGAGCTAGTATTCCTAATTTTAAGTTTTAAAAATATATTCTATTTTTTTTTATACCGCTCTCTATAACATCATAAAATAAATGAATTGCACTAAACAAAACTTATAAATCATCTGTAATAGATGAAATTTAACAAATAAAACAGCTACAATTTTCAAATTCCACATTTTTCTACTCACTAAACAATTAATACTCAGGTTTACTTTGTAAACTACTTAATCAGTAAACTTATTCAGAAAGGAGAAAAAACATTTTTATAAAAAATACAAATTTCAATCAAGAATATGCACAATAAATATGATTGTTTCATAGGTTAATGCTTGATAAGTGCCTAATAGTATGCCTTTTGAGGGTAGTTTTCATCTTGGTTTTGTATGGACAATAGGGACAAGAAAACTGTGGTTCTTTACCACAATCAAAACGTTTATGATTGTACAATCCAGAATGGTAGGAGTATATTTTCCCACAAGTGTCACATGGGTAGTTTCCTTTTCTTTTGTCATTCTTACCTGCAATCATAAATAACTATTTAACTAAAATTAAGAAATAGCATCTGTATCAGATATATATATATATATATATATATATAACAATGTAAATTATTGATTGAAATGGTATTAAAAGAACTTAATAGTAAAGTAAATAAACATAATATTCTTACCCCATAAACATGACACTGAAGTATCCTCATTTACTTAAGATATATAATTTCTAAACCCATTATTAATGGTTTGTAGATAGTTAATTATTAGACTAAATGCTAAAATTAAAGCCATGAAACTCAAATAGAAAAAAAGTTTTCTTGTATGATGTAATTTAGTAAAATGGATTAATGTCTTTTAAATTATTTAGTACGATGTAGAAAGAGGAAGAGAGGAAAATCTTCAAAACACACTTTTATATACAACTTTATTTTTGAGTAGGTAATAGAAAGGTACCAGTATTTTCATTTACATGTTTACAAAGTATATGAGTTTTAAGATTATTCTTCATTTTTGCCTTATATGGACAATAGGGACACTGAAATTGAGGATCTTTTCCACACTCAAACCTTCTGTGGTTGTAAAGACCAGAATAATAGGAATAACATTTTCCACATCTTGTACATTCATAGCTTTTTCTCTTTTTTGTTTCCAAAACCAAAAAGTTGAGAGCTGAAATGGAGTAACAAAGAAATCAATCATAATTTATTTTTCACAGAATGGAAATGAAAAAAAGTAAATTTGAGATCATCAATCTGAATTCACAAAGAAAAAAATATTATGCAGGTAAAAAACACACTAAATTAGTTTTTCAAACATTTAGAGCAAACTGGAAGTAAATTAATGGTTAATGTTATAATTTTTTAGTTTTATGTTTCTCCTTCTTCTTATTCTTATACAGTGCGTGCTACATCCCGTGTGGAGACAAGGCATCTTGCAGCTTTGAACCCAAGTCATTTCTGTTCTGTGCTGCTGAATTTCAGTGGCGGAATCCCAAACGAGGATTGTTAGTTTTATATTGATTGATTTAATAATATAAAGATTAATATTTAATTGATTGTTTCTTGTTATACACTTGGTTTATCTCTGACTAAAAATTATCTTGTTGATATCTAAAACAATTTTTTAACTGATAAAATATATACCTATATCTGTTGATCCCACTATTTATTTCTATTACAACCAGCAACATATCTACATAATTTTGTAATTGTTAGTTTATATTTGTTTGAATAGGTAACATTCAAGATGTATAAAGTATACAGATGAGCTCACTTGGGTTTGCGAACCCAAATGACACATTTCGCTGAGTCACAAATCTAACTAGATTGCTTAAATGAATTTTCCATGTTTAATTTTTTCCAATTATATTATTCCAATCAAAATAAGAAATTTCTCAAAAATTAAACTATAGAAATTAGTACAACTAGAGAATAATTATTTTTTCTATATGTCAATCTGAGGAACTCATTACCTCTAATGTAAACATTTTAGTGGATTTTTCAAAAATATTTTATTTCAATAACAGACCTCGTATCAATATATCAATATAGTATAAAATATACTTAACTTTTGAAAACAAAACATTGAAAATGAGCTACAAGAATTTCAGAACTATTTTTATATCCCACTGCTAATATCATCTAAATAAATTACTGATATGATGAGATACTATTTAAAAAAAATACCAAAATTGTTAACAAATCGTAGAATGGTTTATGAAAACACTACAAACTTCCAGATATAAAGATAAAACAAGATAACTCTTCTTGCCTAGAAAGGTTGTTCAGGATCTCATGGTTTGTTCAGGTGCTTCATTTATGCAATTACGATAAAATCTGTAGTACTTATTGATGATTACTATGTATTGAAATAAGAGTTTTCAATAATATAATATGATTAAATTGGCTTTTTAAATTGGAATTCTGGAAAGTATTGTGGGTAATCACTGTGATGATGAAATCAGTGACAAGTTTTATGAACTTTCTATACCCTTGAATTATTAAAACTAAAAATCTTGATTTAACTTTACATTATATAAGATTAAAAAAAAGACAGTATATGACTCCAAAATGCATTTTCTACACAATTAAAAATAGCGAGATGATAAATTCTTTATAAAAGTGAGAAAAAAATGTATAGGAAGAAATTAAAATATAAATAAAATAAAAAAAAGGTATAAAATATTAGGTATGAACAAATACACACAAGTATCAAATATTTATTTTAATCATTCAAAACAACAAGAATGTTAGCAAAATTTTTTTTAATGTACATAATCTTCGCAATCCAAGATAAACAAATTGTGGTAAAGAAGAAATCAAAACAAGAAAATAAGTGTTATAAATTTTCCTTTTACTATTCCAGTTTAGTGCTTAAATGTTAGAAAATCCTGACAAATGAAATATTAAATAAATTTAACAAAATTATCATAATTCTAAAAACAGCAAAATCAATTTAAATTAAAAATTTATTTCTAATTTAATTGTAATTATAAAAAGACATAAAACATGCAATGAAACTTTTAAGAGTTGGTTAAAGATTATCTTTTAATAAATTCTTCATTTAAAATTGATCGATTGGATTAATTCATCAAACTTCTTAATTAATCACGATTTACACCAGGAATCTTTGGATTCATTTAACCAATGCCATGTTTATTTATTATATGAATAACTAAGAACAGATTCACAGTCTAAATACCTTCATATTCTAAAGTAATATTGCAGTAATGTTTAAGGATGACAGGTTTTCCATCTTGGGAGGATCTTTAAAAGGAGATATGCAGAAATAAATAAATACATATAAACCAGATACAGGACAATTTTCAATGAACAAAAAATATTATCTGGTTAATTCTGAAACAAATATTAGACCTGACAATGTTTAATCATAAGATTAATTTTTCTATCCAATTTAAATTAATCAATCATTAATAAATACATATTCTTAATTTATTTTTATTCTATGATGAAATGAAGTTGTTAGCATTAGCAATAAAATTCATTAACTCCTTAGTCACTTAAATATATAAAACAGAATACTATTATATGAAATAAAATACTATTTATTTATTAGTGGTACTCTTGTTTTATATATTAAGAATTTTATGTATTATTTTTCAGATACAAACACATATAACATTTCCATACATACTCATACATGCAAAAACACACTTATGTACACACATATACCAAGAAATTAGATACATTGTATTTAAATATATTCTAAAAGTGTTCAGAACATTAACCATTAACTATCAGGTTATAACTTGGTGTTAAGAATCACTATTAAGTAATAGGAAGCTTATTAAGGACATCTCATAGGTCTTTGTTCCTATATGATTTATACTACATTTATTACCATTTGAGAAGACCTTTATTAAGATAGAGAAGATGGGAGTCGTTTTTTATATTATAGATGTTGATGTCGCTGAAAACTTGTCATTTAATTTTTAATCAAGATTTGTAACATTATAATTCTTCTAAAGCGGATCATTTATTAGTCAATGAGAATGCTAATTAAGAGTTTTCCATCATCAAACTTGTGTATTCTGAATTTTTTCCCACACTCACCTGGTTCCTCTAATAGTTCCACAAGATTCCTCCCAACCATATACACCCTACTGTTACAAGTTCTGTACTTTCAATTGAGAAAAGCTTAGTAGTGAGCAATCTGCCTATGGGTGCCGGAATCTGCTAAAAAAATTATGGAAAATAAAAGCTTTCACAATTAAAAATTATATCAATCTTATCAAGTCAGGGAGGAATGATGTAGATTTAAATATATTTTTGCAACTGACAGGTCAGAAACAATATTTCTATAGCTTTTTGTTTGGCAGCGCTATTATTAAACAAATTCTATGGCACCTTTATTATAATTATTAGTCATTTTTTTTTTCAGTTAAAGTGGATATATTTCATAAAAAAATACTAGATGGAACAAAAAAAGTCACCCTGTGATCTATCAAACATTTAGTAGATAATAATTGTGGGTAAATGGTTGACTGTCGTGAATAATGAAGAGAAGAATAGTTGGGGTGATCA